AGGTAGCCTTAGCTCAGCTGAAGTCCAAAGTCTTCCATCAGGGCAGTATTTAATTGTAGGCTATTTGCTGTTTTGCAGTGTTAATCCAATGTTAGCAGACATAATTTATTCTGGCCTTAATGACAGCTGTAACCATGAGCTGATAGCACTGTTTGCCTAGAATATAATATTTCTCAGAAAAGCATTCTCCTACTCAATTTGCTACAAACTTTATTTTTTAATCTCTAGCAATGAAGTTATACACAGGTTCTACCTTTACTTCTGCAACCAAATCTATGTAGACCACCAATGGTCAGATAGTGCTGAGATTGCTAACCTCTAATTGTATAAGTGATCAAAGTGATAAATGAAAAGTAGGCAGGAATATAGGCAGAAAGACATGTTTTCAGAGARGCATATATTAAGAACCTGACTTGGCTGTGTAAGGGAACAAGGCACCATAAGACCTCTCCATGAGAAAAATCTCCTCACTGCTCATGGTACAGCTCAGGCAGCAGCACCTGGCAGCTTCAAAGGAAACTGAGAACAAAYGTCTTCAGACAAGGCATCATGTTAGAAATTGGTATTCTCACAGAAGGACATCTCTTTCATGCTGCCTGTGAGAAGTTTGGCACATTTGATTCTGTGTAAAGCCTTTGTAGAGCATGTAACTGCAACCACTGAGCTAATAAACCACATTTATTCATAAATAAATGCATAGCTCAATCCAGGCAGCTGGATGTCAAGTGGATATAGAAAGGAAACAYTAGTGACATACATCACATTTCCTCTGTGCCCTTTGGTTTGCCTTTTTTTTTGTTCTTAAGAACCTATGCTCTAGTTGTTTCATTTCAGTTGTTTTACTTATGCAGTTATGTACAACTTTTTCCTCTTTGCTTAAGTAACTCCAGTCAAAAGAGAGTATATTGTTACCTAGAAGTGAATAGCAAAGTTTAATTCCCTGGAATTCTAACATTGCAAAAAAAAAAAAAAAAAAAAAAAAAAAAAAAAAAAAAAAAAAAAANAAAAAAAACCATCATTTGCTTTGTTGAGCAGGGGCAAAATCTGCAGGTCAAAAATTTGTTTCTCTAATTTACTGACTTAATACTTGTTTTTGAATGATAAGTATCCTGAACCTACACTTGCATTAACTAGTTCTCACACCCACTCATGCAGGTAGTATAAGAACATCTTGTTAATCTTTTCTGTCCTTCAGCTTGTTGTGCAGTACAGGACAATAAGAGGATAATGTAGTTCTGTGGATGAACTAGAACGAACTGGGCAACTCACAGTTTCACAAAACTAGTTCGTATGGTGCTTAGTTTGAGGAAGAGTGTTTCCTACAGTGGAATATGTGCTCCTATGGATTAGAAAGGTTGGGTTCAATTTTAAAAGTATAAACTTTATGTATTGAAGATTACATTTCATATAAACTGGAAAGTGTATATGAAGAAAGATACAAGCTGTGAGCAAGACCAGATGCAACAGTAACTAAACACTAACAAAGATAGTCTTGAGTGAATGAGCCGCGCCAGCTCCAAGTTTTTAAAGATATTTTAGTTATCCGACTTGAAAAAGCACCATGATGAAACTAAGATTGCATATCAAAAGGCAGCAGATTGTTTAATAGCTTTCATTTGTTTATGTATACTCCAAATACCAGAGCTAAGACCCCAGTCATTATTTATGACTGAAGGCTTGAGATCGTGATTCTGTTTCTTGAACTTGCATAAAGCAGCAATAATAACCTGGCACCTATTGCATGCTCTCTGTTGTTTGCTGTCTAAGTGCTTTTCATCATGTGTATCACCCCTGTTTTACAAACTAGGAAGACAAAACTCAAGAATGTTTAAGCGAGTTTTCCATAACCTCAAGAAAGGGAACAGAACAGTCAGTGCTTTTTGCAATTCATTTTCATTTTCAATTCTGTGTACTGTAACACTGCTTAATTCAATTAGTTACTAATTTCAAGATAAGTAACTAAGATGTAAGCATTCTCAAAGTGGGTTGAATCCAACGCACTTTTTATTATTGGTGTTTTAATTATTCCTGTGTTTTTTCTTCCTTAGACAGTTTAACTGTACAGCTAAAACCTCAGTTGATGATACATGCAGATAAAAAATATTGTTGATTTTCTTGCTGCTTTTATTATTAGTGTATTAAGTAGTTCTGAATGTCTCCATCTTTTAGTATTTTCATTAGTTTAAAATCTTTTCTTCATTATTTTTATTATACAATCAACCCTTGYTTTACATGTGATGGCATCCCAATAAGACCTCTAATCAAAAACCTCTTTCTTGCTGCTCTAAAAAATAAAAGTATTCTAAAAAAGAAAAAGAAATATATATATATTTCTTTTTTTTAAAGTTACAGGACTACGTGCACAAATAAGCTGTTTAAACAATGGCTATTTCACTGGTTTTTCTATTAATTATCCTTTTCTTTTTTCTACCTTAATTCCTGAAATTATGAGAAATTGAGTTTTTATTATTTGACCAAATACAAAAATAAATGCTATGTAATCTTCTATGAGCACAGTGGACTAGTATGCTCCTATCTTTGTGTAAAATTTACACAAAACTGCATTGATGTTAATTATAGCATAATAGATTTTATGTACAAATTATAAGCTATTGTCAACTGCCAAAGATGTTCTAATGCATTTTCTAGAAATTTCCCTAGGAAAGGATTTGCCTTTCTCATATTAAACATTAAGAGATTTCTTAGTCAGTTGATAAATTTCAGATAAAACTAACATTCCCTGGAGGATCGCAATCTCTCTTCCTACTGATAGCYTCCCTCTTTTATGGGAAGCCTGTGATTCTAAGGTTGCTACCTGAAGACAGGCTCTGATTTGGCTGCTTGAAGTATGGTTGCTTAATATATATTTCATAATAGTTGAAGTCACTAGGCACTTGGAGAACAGGAGTTTATTTCTGAGGAGCTGAGGGTGGAGACTGTCAAAGAAATGTTCACAGAAGGTGTTAGTATTTAATTAGTGAGATGGAGATGGAGAGCTGCAGCTCCATGAGAATTTTTTTCTGAATTTGCATTGAAAAGCACTGACTTCATTATTTAAGTTCCTTGAACTAGATTGCATTTATATTGTACAGTAGTATTTAGTATCTGAATATGACAATATTTCTAGTTACATTTCTAGTAAACACAAGTAAGAGGCAGCATCTTGTCTGGTGTGCTACTGAGAATAGACCATCCTGAGATGTTTACTTTGTGGCATAGCAGAAATRGTCTTTGAATATTCCATTTCAGTATGGTATTACAAAATAACATAGTGAAAAGCTTCGTGTTTCTTCATTCAATTTGCAATAATGTTCATATTTACAAATAATAATCAAGCAAACTTTAAAAAAAAAAAAAAACTGCTTTAAAATGGCCACTTTTCCACTTATTCTGTAACAGCCCAGGACTTCTACTTTATCTGATTTTTTTTTTTTTTATGACCTATTCCATCTGTTAGAGGAATAAAAAAGTTACAGAACATGGTGCCTGATTTATGTGCACTTCTATAGACGAGTGACCTGCACAGTGACAGACTCAACCGTTACCAAAGGTCCCATGACTGTGTGACCCTTCAAGCTAAATTTACCACAGATGCCTTTTCCACTCTTTGAAGTTAATTTTTTTGATTCCATAGGACTCTTACAAAAGGTCCTTTGCAAGTCATTAAGTGATATTTGAGAGATAAGTGCCAGAAAACATGAAGAACAGAATCCAGAGCAAGAAAYCTTATTAACATTCCTTGTGCTGTTGTGGAACACTTTATATGCAGATCACTGGCAAAAGCCTCCAAGGCAGTTAGGATCTTTCCTGGTGATATACAGTGTAGCTGGTAATGCATTTTATTGTACTGTTATAAAATAAAGTGCAAAGGTTGTAGAAAGCCTTATACACGTTCCAGTTTGGTATTTTTTTTTTTTTTTATCTTTTGATGTGTAACCTATTTATAATATTTTCCTTCAATTTTCCAAGTCTATATAAATTTTAWAAATGCAATCCTAAGTGCTTGTTTTTATTATTGACCTAGATGCACAACCATCAAAACTAATGTACTGCAACACTTGTAGAGACTGCAAAGGAATGGCTATTAAGCATGTAAACACTTGTTCAGCAATAAATTTGTTCTTTCAGTTTAAAACTAATTCAACACAGTTCAGAACATTTGCAAAAATGTATAAATTAAACAATATAATCCCTATTCTGTTCTCTGTATTTTTTCCTCTGCTAATGCTGAAATTGCYAAATATGTTAACATTGAAATTAGATTTTTTTTTTTTTTGCTAGAAATCATAAATCTTCTATTTTTTATAATGCACAAACAATTTATGTAATTATTGTAACAGGAAAATATATCTGCAGTACAGTAGAGGACGTCATATTATAGTTCTTCAACTAAAGTATTTTGTCCTTCAGGGATTTGTAACAATCACTATCTCTATGTGTGTTTGACTTTAAGAGTCAACAAAGAATTTAATTTTTACTTAACTTCCCTGCAGTGTTCTGAATGTCTTTCAGACAGGGAATACTTTCTGGTTTATGAAGTTAGACAAAGTACTTATTCACAATATCTAAGCATGTGTTAGGAGAAAGAGAAAGGGAAGAATTACATTTCTGGGTAAGGCTTTTAGCTGACTTGAAATGAAAAAAATCTTTGTTCCTTTCTTTACTCCACAGAGACTAATTTTTCTAACATGTCTCTAAGTGTAATTTCCCTGCAAATTCAGATCTATTACTGTAACTTGCATTCATCCTTTCCTTTAATTTATTATCCATCGGTATTGTTTATTTTTTCTTTTTTCTTTTTTTTTTTTTTTTTTTTTTTTTTTTTTTTTTTTTTTTTTTTTTTTTTTTTTTTTTTTTTTTTTTTNAAAATATTATTGACCTTTAAACCTGTTGTTATCAAACTGCAAGAAAGAGATAGGGACTCTTTTCAGCTGCCTTCATTCTCATGTGACCTGAAGGGAGAATAGGTTCAAAATAGACTAGTTCCTCCCAGGGCAATACAAGACAGAAGAGAAAAGCACTGTCATTTCCGAACAGCACAGTGCTAGAGTAAACTCAGCATGAAAAAGGAAGAAGTTGCATCATGTTAGAATTCTTCCTCCACAACCTGGATTTTTACATGAGAACGATTTGGTTAAAAAGCAGAGGATTTTARAACATACTTTGAAATGGAGTACTTTGAGAATGAGCTTTTTAAGGACAACTGACGTCTGACTGCTAGTAATACTGAAGGAATTTTTCGAAATGAGCATTGTTATGAAGCCAAGATCCCGATCTACCAGCTCCTTAAGGACTGCCGACGCAATGTGGTAATGTGGCTCGTTTGTTTCTTTCAGACTCTCCTTCCTATTATGACACAGGGATATGTCCCAGCAAAGACACAGGCTTTAATTTTGACTCGATAGACTTTGCATGGTTATTTAAGATGTTCAGCTGTTGAGTTTTACAATTGTTAGTAAGAATCAGATTATGTGGCTTTTTACTTTAAAATACAGTGTATGTAATTTTTAAAAAGAGAATACATTGCATACTTTTTGCAACACATTACATACATTTTTCCCATTCAGTAGTCAGGTTCAATCCTTACACGCACAGAGATACCTTCTAAAAACCTTCAGCAGACTTATTTCAGTAAGAGAATCATAATAAAAAGCTTGCATTTCTGGAGACTGGAGAGTAAAATGAAGCTATAGTTTGTGTGAGTTATTTTGGGATGCTTACATGTAGTTTTGCTGCATAAATAGACTGACTGCTAGAGATGTGTCCTGGGAAGCAGCAGACTTTGTAGCAGCATGTGTGAGACTGTGCTGGATTATGCTTCATGTTTTTTCCCTGCTCTCTGAGGCTTAGATGAGTAGAAGTATCCTGTGATATTGATCTATCTATATGATTTTCTTGCAGATTTTTTCAGTTACCAATCAGGGAAGTTTTGTCTTTTGAATAATTTCCTTTTTCTTGTAAGAACTTTATGCTTTTTAGAGCTTGATAGGCACGTATAGCTTTCTATTTAGTATGAGAAATAAATTCCCTTTATTTTCTTAATGTGTCCCACATTTTTTTCTTTTCTCTCTTTAATAAAACCGCCATGATTTTAATAAACACATTATCGACTAATTGTTCAGGGCTATACTTTATAGGTATAAAATGATATATTTTAAAATATAGCTGTTGTTTATATATAAATGGCCGATGCATTTCTGTGGTGTAGACTAGTAACTAGATACAGTTTGGTTTTTTGGTTTTTTTTTTTTTTTTTTTTTTTTTGTGAGGAAATACATTCAGTTAATTGAACATTAACCTATTAAAGACTTTATGTTTCAAATAATTTTGGCTCTGAGTTAAAGCCATGTCAGTATTACAGTAAAAGTACTTAGTAATTTCTTCATGTTTTGCTAAAACCATTTTGCAGTAAAAGAAAATAAAACAAGTACACCACTCAAGCTAAAGAGTAGTCCTAGCTGTTCTCAGAAACTGCTGAAGCAGAGTTTTGCTGAAATAACTGCAGTATGTAGTTTACCTATCTCTTTATTCAAATTGAATACTGTGTTGGTAAACTAAATATTGCAAAAGTGCTACACTGCAGGGTGTCTCCAAGGAAGTGAGCTAAAACATACATACCTTAGCTATTACGTACAACTGTGCAAATAAATCAGTACCTCTGATTAAGTCTGCCTTTCTATTTTTTTTTTTTGGGGGGGGTTGTTGTTGACTGCCTCCATTAATTCTTGCAGGAAGAAAAATAGTTTAAAAGAAAAAGGATCCTTGTAACAGATAGTTGCTATCAGACTAATTTGACCACAAAGTATTCTGTCTGAAATACCTGCCTGCCTCCCTTTTGTTGCTGTTGCCTTTAGTTACAGCGCTAATCTGATATCTGAGAATACCTGTTCTGCTAGTTGTAAAGTGGGAGTCCTCTGCTCGCCTGCTGTTTGGGAACACCACCTGAGCTCAGAGATGGCTCTCAGGGAGATCCTTGGGGGCTGACTGGAGAAGGTACATGCTGTGCTCTGGTGGTGTGGACAGAGCCAGGCAGGCCCTGTTCCAGCCAGGGGGAAAACGGAGTGCAGAGATAAGAGAGAATGGGAGGGAGCTGCTGGCTGCCCACACTGAGCTCAGCTCCTGGCTGCCTCCAGGCCAGCCCACCCTGCCCACATCTCCCAGCCAAGCAGCCTCCAAGGTGGGCCTGAGCAGTACCTGTTCCCAAACCATCTGCTTGACTTTGGTTGGTATGCCTTATAACCGGAGTCTGTGCGTTTGTACCCATGGGTCAGCACCTCTCTGCAGTTCTCTGGGATAAAATAGCAGTGCTGTAGTTTTGCCACATTATTAATGTTTGGAGACAAGTAATGTGTTTAAATCAGGAGCAGTGGTAGGAGTTCAGGTCAGGAGACAGGAAGGGCTACACCACATAATTCTCCTTTCTGTACCTGTTAACATAGTGATCCCACTCTGTGTGAGATGAGCGGGAATAAGAAAAGAGAAGATGGGTCTGAAGAAAACATGGGCCTGAGTGACAGGACTCTTAAATACCCATCTTAATGTTTGTCATGTTAACAAAGTTCCCATGAAGCTCAGAATTCAGTCTCCCAGCACACAGACCAGAGGACAGAAAAGGTGTAAAGACAAGACAGAGAAACATTTGCTGTTGGTGCCCTGGAATCACACTCTGTCCAAATGATACAGTAAGTTCAGGGTAAAAGCATGTGTGTGGTGAAAGCATGATATTCTTTACAGTATAATTATTACAAAGCCTCCAAAGGGTATCTGCACTGGTGATGTGCTATGATGAGTACCCCAGCTGATTTTGAGTAGATGTGGGTGAGCCCAGGCTGTGCAGATGCATCCCATTTRAAGCCGGTTGTGTTGGGGATAGCTACTGTTTAGCATCATGGTAGGATCTGTAGGCAAACCTTGTCTTTATGATGTACMTTGGAAAATTTATCTTGATGTTATGGTGACTAAAATAAAAGGAGATGGTTGGTATTTATACTAAATAAGTGACTTATATAAGGGTTATTACCTATTTTGTTAATGCCCCTCAATTCTACTACTCACTCCTACTGACTTCTCAATTCAGGGTATGATTGTGAAGTGTAGTTTTAAATCATAAATTTTCTGGAGAATAATCTAGATGGGTAAGGATTTGGCAGACTTTCAGCTCAGACAATTGATATTCCAGAGAAGAAATAACAAGGAAGGAAACTCAAAGTAAGTTAAACTTTGGTTGAGACAGGCATACAAGAATTTAAATGAGAATRTGATTCCCTTTTCTCAGTTACTTGCTGCTGAATAGTAAAGCAGTAATTCTATTGATTTTTTTCCTATTCTAA